CTTGTTTTCTGCAATGTCTCCCAGGGAGTAGCAGAGAGAGAGAGAGGTGTCTTCCGCCTCCAAGGAGGAAGTACCAGATTTCCCAGAATTTTCAGAAGGCCATGCCCACACAGAAGTCTCATTGGCTATCTCCAGATTGACAGCCTAAACTCCACCCCTACACTCTTAATCCTTAAACTGACATCAGATTAGGTGACTACCACAGGACCCTTTCACAGGGGTCGCCCGATTCATCACAGTAGCAAAATGACAGTGAGGAAGTAGCAACAAAACTAATTTTATGGTTGGGGGGGTCACCACACCATGAGAAACTGTATTAAAGGGTCACGGCATTAGGAAGGTTGAGAACCACTGCACAGGTTTCCAAGGCTTGTAAGCCTTTATAGAAGCAACCAACCTAATTTTTCTCTTTAGAGCAGCTGGTGGGTTTAAGCTACTGGCCGTAAGGTCATCAGCCCAATGCCTGTCCCCAAGCACTGATATTGTCAGTTCCAACTCAAAGCAACCTATGCACAACCCAACAGAAACAAACACATGCCAGGTCCTGCACCATGCTCACAATTGTTATGTTTGTGCCCACTGTTACAGACACTGTATATAGGCACTGGGATTCAATAAAAACCCAAACCAAACTTGGTGCCATGGAATAAATTTCAAATCAGCTAGCCCACAGAGCAAAGGAGCCCTGGTGGCATAGTGGTTACGAGATGGGCTCAAAACGGCAGTCAGCAGTTTGAAACCACCAGCTGCTCAGAGGTAGAGAGGGCTTTCTACTCCTGAAAAGATATAGTCTCAGAAACTCACAAGGGCAGTTCTACCCTGTCCTATTAGGGTCACTATGAGTTGACATCAACTCATTGGCAGTGAGTTGAATTTATTCCACAGAGCAAGTGACTGCTGGGCTCCAACACCCAACCTTTTAGTTTGAAGTTGAACACTTAACAACTGAGCCACCAGGGCTCCTTACTCCACCCTCCCACCATCAGGATAACTCTGAGCAATCAGTTGTTTGGAAGCTGTTAATCTTTAGGGCAGTGGTTCTCAACCTTCCTATAGTCTCAACCCTTTAATACAGCTCCTCATGTTGTGGTGACCCCCCCCAACCATAAAATTATTTTCATTGCTACTTCATAACTGTAATTTTGCTACTGTTATGAATCGGGCAACCCCTGTGAAAAGGTCGTTCGACCCTAAAGGGGTTGAGACCCACAGGTTGAGGACCACTATTTTAGAGGAACAGATAGCCTCAAGAGGGCTCCTAGATTTCAGTAAAATGTTAGTAATTCAGAACCTACTTCTTATAAGAAAGCTGAATAGACGCCCCTCCTCCTATTAGAAAACAGTTGGAGAAATAGACCTAGTTTTACAGAATCATAAAAAAAGTTATGTTTGTAACACTCAGTTTTCTTTCTGTAAAGATTTTTTTCTGACAAGGTTTCTGTAAGTCTTCCTTCAACTTTCTGATGTAGGAGCAGACTTGCACAGAATGCAAGCAAGGTGGGGAGGGCGAGAGTCTATTTTTGTTTTAACTAAAGTCCCTTTCTAAATAGTGGAAGAAACCTTGGCAGTAACCCCTGCTGTGCAGACTGCAGGCGTCAATACATGTAGGTTCAACCAAATGCTCCTAAAAGGCACAGAATGATTTTTTAAATCATGTGTAGGAAAGAGAGCTCATTATCCAAAGTCTCCAGTGAGCACTTTGTAAAGCAAAGACTGAACCTTAATTATTAGGGTTTTCAGAACATAATTGTACATAATGACACAATCTCTGAACCAATCATGCAGTTCCCCCAGAAATCCTGCTATTGTACCCAAAACCCCAAGATCAGAGGATCTCAGCGGGACCCCCCTTTATGTTTTTTACCCAGTAAGGAGCTGTAACTCAATGAGAAGACAACTGAGACACAATCCTGTGATAAACAGATGGGGCAAGGGAAAGGATGGGTGTGTGCAGAGCTGAAAAAACACGGGAAAGACAAGGCAAGGTATCATGAAGCTCAATGACCTGGAGATGGTCTCCTGCCTGCCAACCAGGCCTTCCTGCAACCTGATACTCAGTTGACACCTGTCAGAGTTGCGATAGGCCTGCAACTGGGAGTCACCAAGAAAATCACCAGTACAGGGAGCTTTACGGGTCATGAGTCACCTTCCATGGCTCAGAGATCTGGGCAGGCCTGCTCCACCCTTGCTCATACCTACCGTCAGGAGAGTGACAAACAGAAGGTCAAAGAGACGATTTTAACGCAGGCCAAGATGAAAGGGCTGCGAGGCAGAAGACAGGTTCCACAGGTAGAGACGCAAGGAGGTGACATAGGCAGAGACAGGGTCCAGATATACGGAGATAGGCTCGAGAGAGACAAGGTAGAGAGGAAAACAAAGTTGACAAGGGCCGAGTGAAAAGGCAGAAAGGGCAGGTGACAACAGGCTCTAGGGAATGCGACAGAACTGAGACACAAAGGGAGACAGAGACGGATCAACAAAGTCCGGGCGCAACCGTTTTCTCGGCCTTGTCTTTCACGGCCTCGGGCGCGGGTGGCTCGG